GAAGGCATAACCGTATGCAGGGGCGGACTGACAACTCATGGGTCCCCCCGGGCAATAGGGGATCATGGGGCCCCTGTGTCCTTGCCTGAACTCAAAAAAGCCTATGAAAAAGGTACCAGGGGCATCTCATGGGGCCCCCTACTGACCCCGGGCCCTCTGGCAGTGCCCGACTTTCCAAACGGTCAGTCCGCCCCTGACCGTATGAGATTTGCCTCATCAGCAAAACTGCTGCTTCACTATCCAATCACATTCTTGACCAAGTTGTGTGGTTTAGCACTTCTGTCTGGCAGTACTAGGGTCGCTGGTTTGAATCTCAGCCACGGCACCACTTGCCTGGAGTTTACATGTTCTCCCTGTGCCTGCGTGGGTTTCCTCCCACACTCCAAAGACATGCTGGTAGGTTAATTGTCTCCTGTCTAAATTGTCCCTAGTATGTGTATGTATGAATGTGAGTTAGGGACCTTAGATTGTACACCCCTTGAGGGTTAGGGACTGATGTGAATGTACAATATATATGTAAAGTGCTGTGTAAATTGATGGCGCTATACAAGTACCTGAAATAAATAAAAATAATAAAAGCAGCTACAGAGTCAATGGTCAGGACTGATCTGTGGTATCTGCATTAGAAAACTGGCTGAACAGAACTGGATGACCACAGTACATTTTGGAAGGTAAAACAGTTTATGCTTTTATATTTAGTGTCCTGCTTGTACTTAAAGCGACATTAAACTCAAAACCAATAAAGTAATATATTGCAGATAACCAATCTTTAGACATGTCACTGCATTCATTTTCTTTTCTTAGGCTTTTATTCTCTCCATTTTTACCTGGTGATCTGGCCAGTAACACACCTCCTGTATTAGAGCGCCCCCACTCTGAATGAAAGAGCACAGGGGGCACCTTTGGAAAGCAGAATTGTTAGTCTGGGGGAAGGGGAGTGTTAGATTGACTAGCAGATTTAGATACACTATCAAACTGAAACCAAACTCCAGCTAATACTTAAAAAGAATAGAGGGAGGTTTTACATAAATAAATAAAAGATTTTAAGCTCCCCGCCATTGTTAAATGGTTTGTCTTATTTCTGTAAACTGACACATTCTGCTGGAGAGCTTTGTAAACCAAACAACAGACTTACTGCTGGGATCGCCAGGTGAAACTAGAAGAAAGAAAGTCTAAAAAAGAAACATAATACAACCATCACATCTAAGAAACGGTAAGCTGCAATATAATAAATGCTTGAGTTGGGCTTAATACTACTTTAAAATCATCTGAAGTGAAGGTGTCCTAAGATTGTAAGCTCCCAGGATCAGGGCCCTCCTATCCCTCTTGTATTGAACTGTATTGTTGCTGTATTGTCTCCCGTTATATTGTAAAGCGCTGAGCAAACTGTTGGCACGATATAAATACTGTATAATAATAATAAGGTGAAGCCCCCCCCCAACCACACCGATGAGCCAAAGACGAGGCGCAGAAGAGACTGGGCCAGCGTTCAACTTTCTCCACTAGAATTTTCAGTATTGCACATACCAATATTTGGGGCTTCTGAGACATAATAGGGTCTTGTAGATATTATCATACTTCTGGTGTCAGATGTCCTTGGGTTTAGTACAGTAACTAGAAATCTAAAAGGATAATTCTCATTTCAAGGTGGCAAAAACTGTACGTGAAAAAAACAGCATAAAGTCTTTACTGAGCTGCAAATTAATCTGTACGGAGCTATTTTCCCCATTAGACGAGTGGAAAAAAAGTCAGGAGCAGATTTACAAATATGAAAAAAACTGAAAAAAGATACTTCCTCAGGGATTCTGACTTTATAAATAGGCCATACCGTATCCGCTTGGTTTGTTATTGGGAGTAACTGGAATTCCATCATCAAGGTTAGCAACAAAGATATTTGCAAATTTCCCATTGAATTGAGAGATTCCAGACACAGAGGGGGCGTCTTCTAAGTATGGTGGTAGTATCTGTTTGTGGGCGATTGTTGGTCATTTCTGGGGAGATTTTGGTTAAGACAAAATTGTTTACAAGGGTAGGAAGTCCATAGGCTGCACATTTCTGTTTTTTACTTCACAAAACCTGCTGACATGGATTTGCCTCCTCCATTCACTGAGGTTCCAGTAGTTTTGGCCCCCATTTCCTTTGTTGGACATCAAAGGTGAAAATCTACAATGGCTGCCTGTGAATTGTCAGGGGATGTCCAGTCTCCCTCAGGCCTGTAAAACATGAAACTGGTTTTATCGAGGGAAACTTTAAGAGTTTTACTTTTTCTTGATTTAAATGATGTAACAATTGTAATGAGACTCCAAAGTTTTTATAGCAGTGGTGGACAATTTTCTTGATATGGGGGCACCAAGTGCGGCCCCTGACATTGCCGATGGGCTACACACAATATTCCGTGATTATACAGTGGCAGAGACAGCAGACACAACAGGGTACAGCATGATACAAGATATAGCCAGAGACTGTGGAGATGTAGTCAGAAACTATAGGCCTGATGGTCACAGAGTGCAGACATGCTACAGGAGATGCACGAGACTACAGACATGCTACAGGAGATGGCACGAGACTACAGACATGCTACAGGAGATGGCACGAGACTACGGACATGCTACAGGAGATGGCACGAGACTACAGACACGCTACAGGAGATGGCACGAGACTACAGACATGCTACAGGAGATGGCACGAGACTACGGACACGCTACAGGAGATGGTCAGAGACTGCGGACACGCTACAGGAGATGGTCAGAGACTGCGGACACGCTACAGGAGATGGTCAGAGACTGCAGACACGCTACAGGAGATGGTCAGAGACTGCGGACACGCTACATGGGAGACTGCGGGCTACAGAGATGGTCACGAGACGCGGACACGCTACAGGAGATGGTCAGAGACTGCGGACACGCTACAGGAGATGGTCAGAGACTGCGGACACGCTACAGGAGATGGTCAGAGACTGCGGACACGCTACAGGAGATGGTCAGAGTCTGCGGACATGCTACAGGAGATGGTCAGAGTCTGCGGACATGCTACAGGAGATGGTCAGTCTGCGGACATGCTACAGGAGATGGTCAGAGACTGCGGACATGCTACAGGAGATGGTCAGAGTCTGCGGACATGCTACAGGAGATGGTCAGAGTCTGCGGACATGCTACAGGATGGACTGTTACAGGAATTACCAAAAAGTTATAGCAGCTGTTCCAGAACGGGTACATGGTTCAGGAGACACATTACACAAGATCATTCCTATAACAGTACAATTTTGGCGAGAACCATATGTGGCCCCTTGGCCACAGGTTAGGCACCAGTGTTCCAAAGTATTCAGCCTGTCACCGAGTCAGCAGTTGATTGAAGAATCTGACAGCCAAAGGAAAAAAATATAGCCTAGCATCCTAAGGAGAATCAGAGACTGCGGAGTATAAAGGAATGGTCAGAACTGCGGACACGCTAAGGAGGATGGTCAATCCCAGCAGGGAGCTTAGGTCCTTACTTAGGAAGCTAGGCAAAAACTGAGCCGTCTCTAGGCAGATGGGGATTTGGAGACCTCTGGGTTGTACTTCTGTGCCTAGTGTCCTACTTCTTCAGGCGGAACTATAACCTAACAACTTGGGTTACAAATTTTCAAGAGCTCCGGGATCCTCAAGAGCTCCAGGGATCCTCAAGAGCTCCAGGGATCAGGAGACACATTACACAAGAGCTCCAGGGATCCTCAAGAGCTCCATGGGATCCTCAAGAGGCTCCAGGGATCCTCAAAGAGCTTCAGCCTGTCACCGAGTCAGCAGTTGATTGAAGAATCTGAAGCTCCGGGATCCTAGAGCTCCAGGATCCTCAAGGAACGAAAAATCCCCAGGGGCTTTTGAAAGGCTGTAAAAATTCGTCTCTAGCAGATGGGGATTTGGAGACCTCTTGGTTGTACTTCTGTGCCTAGTGTCCTACTTCTTCAGGCGGCACTATAACCTAACACCTTGGGTTACAAATTTTCAAGAGCTCCGGGATCCTCAAGAGCTCCAGGGATCCTCAAGAGCTCCGGGATCCTCAAGAGCTCCAGAGGGATCCTCAAGATCCCCAGGTTTGAAAGGCTGTAACAATTCTCATTTAAGAATACTCAAATTATGATGACTACTAGTTCAGACGAGTACTATTTTACATTTGAAACTCATCAGTGCAGAGCTGCTTCTGGTCTGCTAAGTACCACTGAAGACACTATAATGTATTCCAGTGAAATACAAAAAATGCAGGATTTCTAGGACACCTCCTGTACACACTGTTTGTACAAAAATGGTTTCCTTCTTTTTGACTGTAAGCCCCCTTAAACTGGCTCATACTAGGGCTTTCCATGTGTTACAAGAAAAGGTGAACTCCAGTCATCTTACCAAAATGACGTGCGGCAGCTCATTTACTCTCAGGAATGTAACAGAGAGGAAAACCAAACATATTGGTCCTGTGGAGGCTGGCTATCTGATCTTCTGTGCTTCTACTCCAAAATGTGGGTGGATCCTTAATATTACAATGCAGAGGCCCATTGGTTCTGCATTGTAAGTGATGATGTCGCTCAGATGGCAGAATAAATGACCAGAAAAAAAAGCCGTGGCATTCAGGAACCAATCATCGATACTGAAAGCAGCAGGGAGGAAGCTGGTGAGATTACAGAGTACGTAATCTCTTTTTCAAACCCCCCTAGACTAAACAAGTGTTATATCCTGATTGTACAGGGGAATCCGCCAGCCATGTTTAATTTTTTTTAGGCTGACCGGAGTTCAGCTTCAATAAAATCTGTCTCAACAACTGTGCTTGAGAGGTCTAATGTCATTACATGAGATACAACATGAAAACTAATTCTGATTGGCTTAGGGATGCAGACAACCAATCCACAGTCAGCTTTCTGTCTTCCTGTGTCACATCTATACCGGCAACAAGATAAAAGATGCAATAAACTCATCAATGCATAAAAGAATAAATGGTTTTTTTTTTCCCATTACGACAGGCAACTTACACGCAGATCATGGATACAACTGCGTCTCTCTGAAGGTTTCATTATTGATACTTAAACGGATGAGCCTGGCTCCGTAGTAGTCAATGATGTAGCTTGATCCATCAGATGGGCCAACAATCTGCAAGGGAAACTTCACATTTTAAAATTGCTAAAGTTAATTAAAAAAGCACTGCTTTAGAAAATGCCCGGCGTTCCAGTCAGGCTTCACGTTTATTTGTTATTTTTTTAATTGAAAAAAAAAAGAGAGAAAGAGTAAAGGGGAAAAATATAGTTAGAAAAAAAGAAATAGGGCAAGAGAAAAAGCCGGGGAGAAGGAGAAAGAAAGAAAATGAAAGGAGAAAAGGAAAGGAAAAACAAAAGGAGAAAAGGAAAGGAAAAAACAAAAGGGAAAAGAAAGGGAAAAGAAAAGAAAGGGAAAAGGAAAAGAAAGGGAAAAGGAAAAAGAAAAGAAAAAGGAAAAAGAAAAGAAAAAACAGAAAAGGAAAAAGAAAAAAAAGGAAAAGAAAAAAAGAAAAAGGAAAAAGAAAAAAAAAAACAGAAAAGGAAAAAGAAAAAAAAGGAAAAGAAAAGAAAGGGAAAAAAAAGGTGAAGAAAAAAAAGAAAGCGGAAAAAAAGGGAAAAGAAAAAGAAAGCGGGAAAAAAAAAGAAAAAAAAAAAGAAAAGAAAAAGTGGGAAAAAAAAAGGAAAAGAAAAAGAAAGCGGGAAAAAAAAAAAAAAAAAGGAAAAGAAAGGAAAAGGAAAACAAAGAAAAAAGGAAAAAGAAAGGAAAAGAAAGAAAAAAGGAAAAGAAAGGAAAAGGAAAAGAAAGGAAAAAAAGGAAAAGAAAAAAAAGAAAAAGAAAAGAAAGCGGGGAAAAAAAAAAAAAAAAAAGAAAGAAAGCGGGGGAAAAAAAAAAAAAAAAAAAAGCGGGGAAAAAGAAAAGAAAAACAAAGGAAAAGAAAAGGAAAGGAAAAGGAAAGGAAAAGGAACGGAAAAGGAAAGGAACGGAAAAGGAAAAGAAAAGGAAAAGAAAAGGAAAGGAAAAGGAAAAGAAAAGGAAAAAAGGAAAAGAAAAGGAAAAGAAAAGGAAAAAAGGAAAAGGAAAGGAAAAGGAAAGGAAAAGGAAAGGAAAAGGAAAGGAAAAGGAAAGAAAAAGGAAAAGAAAAGAGGAAAGGAAAAGAGGAAAGGAAAAGAGGAAAAGAAAAGAGGAAAAGAAAGGAAAGAAAAGAAAAAAAAAGGAAAGAAAGAAGAGAGAGAAACAAAAAAAGGAAGGGAGAGAGAAAGAAAAAGAGGGAGAAAGAGAGGGGAGACTGACACAGAGAGAGTGGTGGGTGGGAGGGCATGAGAGACTGAAACAGAGGTAAGGTAGTGAAGAAAGAAAAAGAGTGACAGGAAGAGAGAGAGAAAAAACAATGGGGTGGGGTAACAAGAACCAAAATCCCTCTACTAAACTGGTGTTTAGCACGGTAGAATCTGTGATATCTGTAGAACAGCAGGTATCTGATGCATGTCTTACTTTTATTCTAAACCCCCAAAACAATGGGTTTGTACCTAATTTTCTGTTAGTTGGTGGAGCATTGCAAATCATTTCCTCATGCCCAGGGCCCCCTGTGCACCCAGAACTGCTGATTTAAAGCACAGGCATAAATAAAATGCTATAAAGCCATTTATTCTACACTGCACAGGGCAGTTTCAGGCTTGTTGGCCATCACAAGTGCTGTGTATGGATATCATGGCTTCTCTGGAATAGGACAACCCAATCCGTACTCCACAGAAGCCGTGGTATCCATACACAGCACTTGTATCCCTCTCGCCCTCTTTATAGCATTTTATTTGTGTCTGTGCTTTAAATCAGGAATATCCAGAAAGGTTATGATGGGAAGTGACTAAAAGCCTCAAAATATATTGCTTAAAGCTGAACTCCAGGCAGATATAGAAAAAAAAATAATGCAGCTCTGTAATTATTAAGACATCGTAAATGCTAGCAAAGTACCTGAATCTGACCTGGTATCACCCCCGGTTCACATCTATGCGGCAGTGCGGGCTGCGTTTTGCTCGGGCACGAGAGCCCATATGTTTGAATGGACTCCCGTGCCCAGTGACACACAGGGAAAGAAGTCCCTGCACTTCTTCCCAAAACGCAGCCCGCATGGGAACCTCGGTTCCCAGTACAATTGCGTTTCCCAGTGCAGGCGGCGTGCCATTAGCAATAATGGCACCCACCTGCGGGTCCGCAATTCTCTGTGAGGGTGGTGCGGCTGCATGGGTTTTCATGCGGATCCGCAGCGTCACCACCCGCATAGATGTGAACTGGGGATTAGTCTCTTTACAGCTGAGCCCAGTCTGAGTAAAGGAGAAGCAGCACAAGAACCCAATCTGTTCTGTTGTAGTGTGACGAGCATGCTGACAGGAGGAGACGGCAGAGTGACAGATGAGCTCACTAGCCCGCTGCTTCTTCTTTTACTCTCCAGTCACATGCTGGAGGGGGGACAAGACCTGTAAGTGTTACTGAATCATAGCAGCGCAAAATCAATTCTGCTGCCCTGCTAGACAGAACTATACTGTGTGTCAGGTCTGTATAAATCTCTGGACAGGATGGACAGAAATAGAAATCCATTTGGCAGGTGAAACAGCTATCATATGTATTTCATCTGAGTATTTAATTGTTTGTCCAGAGTTCAGCTTTAAATAGATAGTACCCGTGTTTACCAGCCTGTTTTTTTTTTCTTATATTAGGTAATTGCACACTTGTTAGGTCACAACTCCACTATTTCTCCGGCTCCAGTTATTGATAAATGAACTCCGGTAAGCAAACCATAGGCGGCACGGACTGAGCACCAGAGGAAGCGGAGGCCAGCCTAGAGCTGAATTCCAGGATCTGTGTGGCCGAGTCTATTTCCAGTGCAATGTACACACAGCCGGGCCTCCTGGACCCTCTACAGACAGCTTGGCTGCTGACCGCAGGAACACATTTAAATGCCAGTGTAATTTACTCTAACCATCTCACTCGGCGCACAATGGCGGCAGAATCCTGAAACCTGCCATTATCTTCCAAGAGAAATGCGATCTCTGCTGCCGGGGCTTCCTTATGGCTTTTCGCAAAAGCTCTTTCTGTCTGTTTTGGACTGAATTCTGGGACCACAGCCCAGGAAGCAAATGTCAGAGGCAATATTTATGTTAATTCAAATTATAAGTATTAACATGTGATGGATTGTATTTAGTGTGTCTGATTTACAATCAGCCAATATTTCTTAAAGAGACCCTGTCACCTTGCCCATTCAGGACAAAGTGACAGGGTCTCTTTAAACCCCACCGCCTGACCCGGTTCTATTCATCTTCACAAAGCTGCTCCTTTCCCTATGACAGTTATTGCAACACACAGAGGGGTTTATTTACTAAAACTGGAGTGCAAAATCTGGTGCAGCTCTGCATAGAAACCAATCAGCTTCCAGATATTATTGCCAAAGCTTAAAGTGGAGCTCTACCCAAAAGGGGAAGTTCCATTTTAGGGACTGTTCCCCCCGCTCCCCATTAAGGATTGGCACCTTTGGGGGGCGGGGAAGCGGGTACCAGAATTTGACAGGTACCCGCTCCCACTTCTGGTCTGATCGCCTAGGCAATCAGAAACGGAAGGTGTCCTCCCTCCCTGTAGTCTTTTGGGACACGTGACAGATCCCAGAAGACTACAGGCCCATTCATGAAGCGCAGCACTACTCACGCATGCGCAGCGGGTACCCAGCTGTAAAGCCGCAAGCTATCACAGCCAGGTGAACACACTGAGGATGCCGGCCTCCTGGAATACATGACGGCCGGTGAAACGGGCTGCGGGGGACACCGCAGGACCAAGAGACAGGTGAGTGGCTGTTTTTGTAGCTGCTGACTTTTATTTTTTGACAGCGTGAGTGGAACTCCGCTTTAAAGCGATAGTAAACAGCAGCCTAAAAAAATAAACAATCCCCTGCAAGGTAATGTCATAATATGCTAGTATGCAGTGCATACTATCACATTATGAAGGACTTACCATAAAACGCAACCCTCCAGTGGCCCACTGCCCCCGCTGCAGAGGCTTCCATCTTCACCAGGTCTTCTTTCCGGGTTTGCAAGCTTCGGCCATCTGACAGGCCGGGGCCACGATGACGTCACTCCCATGCATGCGCGTGGGAGTCCTGGGCTACGGCACAGTACTCTGAAGGAATGGCACAGGTATGCTGTTCCTTCAGAGTGCATGCGCTGGCTCTCAAAAAGAGTGAATATCTCCTAAATGATGCACATTTAGGAGATATTCATTTTACCTACAGTTAAGCTTTATTATATATTATATTGTAGGTAAAAGTATAAAAAAAAGTTCACTACCACTTTAAAGTGTTACTCAACCCAGGACCCCGCATCACTATATCTAGTCTCCCCGGACCCTGCATTCACTATACCCGGTCTCCCGGGACCCTGCATAGTCTCCCCGGACCCTGCATTCACTATACCCGGTCTCCCCGGACCCTGCATTCACTATACCCGGTCTCCCCGGACCCTGCATTCACTATACCCGGTCTCCCCGGACCCTGCATTCACTATACCCCGGTCTCCCCGGACCCTGCATTCACTATACCCCCGGTCTCCCCGGACCCTCCATTCACTATACCCGGTCTCCCCGGACCCTCCATTCACTATACCCGGTCTCCCCGGACCCTCCATTCACTATACCCGGTCTCCCCGGACCCTCCATTCACTATACCCGGTCTCCCCGGACCCTCCATTCCCATTACCCCGGTCTCCCCGGACCCTCCATTCACTATACCCGGTCTCCCCGGACCCTGCATTCACTATACCCGGTCTCCCCGGACCCTGCATTCACTATACCCGGTCTCCCCGGACCCTGCATTCACTATATCCGGTCTCCCCGGACCCTGCATTCACTATATCCCTATATCCACTCTCCCCGGACCCTGCATTCACTATATCCGCTCTCCCGGGACCCTGCATATGACCCGAGACTGCGGACACAGTACAGGATATAGCGAATGCAGGGTCCGGGGAGAGCGGATATAGTGAATGCAGGGTCTGGGGAGAGCGGATATAGCGAATGCAGGGTCCGGAGAGAGCGGATATAGCGAATGCAGGGTCCGGGGAGACCGGATATAGCGAATGCAGGGTCCGGGGAGACCGGATATAGCGAATGCAGGGTCCGGGGGAGACCGGATATAGTGAATGCAGGGTCCGGGGAGACCAGATAGTGTAAATGCAGGGTCCGGGGTTTAGTAACACATTAGGAGCCAGGAAAGATCACTTTCTCAGTAACTGCATAGTTCAACATTTCCTCACTGGTGCCCACCACTAGCATGCAGCTCTAGGGGGTCACTTACAGCAAACAGACCCTGCCTCTCTTTAGACTAGGGGAGGGTGCAACAAAATGGATATGGGACCAGAGGACGCAAGGACTGGCTGCAGATCTGTACAAGCTGTCTGGCTTAACCGTGACTTTGTGATTAAAAAAAAAAACATTTTAAAGATTCTATAATATTTAGCATTCAAGTTTTTTTTTCTGTGTAAACTCTTTCAGCCCTTCAAAGATGTCTAAAAAGTAAATTTATTGTCTTCTGGTCTAAAAAAAAAAAAAAAGTAGGATCTGGTTTTAAAAAAAGGAGCTGCTTTAACCACTAAATACCATCAAGTACCGTGTTTTTCTCCCCTTCCTTGCAATGTTTGGGTAGCTTATATAGAAACCAGGACTTAACCCTTCCCTCCAGTCAGGACATCCTGCAACATCTAGCTCTTTCCTCCTCTGCCTGACTATCCCTGGCCCACTCCTTTCATTCATTGGCTTTCAGTTCTTTTAGCCTGAGTTCTCCGCCCCCCCCCCCCCCCAGTTTTCAGCAGACAGCCTGTTGTGAGCTATAGTGAAGAAAAAAAAAAAAAGACAGCAATTGCATTTAACCACTTCCTGTCCGGTCGTTGTATATAAACGGCCGGAGGGTGGCAGTTTATAAACGGCTTTCCCAGGCCCCCTGCTTGTGCACGCTCCTCTGGACACAGTGAAACACCGATCGTCGGACAGGACCTCTGTGCGAGGGTCCCGATCATGTAATCACAGATTGGCCAATCAGTGATCACATGCGGAGTAGTAAGCAAGATGTCACTTGTGACATCATTGCTTACTATGTGTGAAATCTGTGAATGATCACAGAGGTCACATGGTACAAGGCTATTCACAACAGCCTTGTACCATGTGACAAGCTGTGACCAATCACAGCTCACTCAGTAGTTCTCAATGGCTGCAAGAATGCAGCTAGAGAGCAGGAGAAATGATTGCTTTTACATTCTTTATGGGTATAAAAGCAATCAGTGTAGAAAAAAAAAAAAAAAAAAAAAATCTTCATCAACCCCCACAAGTAGTACAGTGTCACCATGGTGACACTGTACTGCTAGGGTGACAGTATGTAAAAAAAAAAAAAAAAAAAAAAATGTAAAAAAAAAAGTTTAAAAATTATAATTTTTGGCTATAAACTAATTTGGGTTATTTTTTTTTTTACTAAGAATATAACGGAATACATTTTGGCCAAGATTTATGATGAAATAATATTTGCAAAATTTTATAAGAAAAACACTTTTTAAAACATTTTTTGGACTTTTTAATTTACATAGCAACAAAAAAATAAAAATCCCAGTGGTGAATAAATGCCACCAAAATAAAGCTTTATCTGTCTCAAAAAATGCTAAAAAATTCATATGGGTACAGTGTTGCATGACAGCGCATTCTTTGTCATTCAAAGTGTGATAGCACTGAAAGCTGAAAATTGCCCTGGACAGGAAGGGGGTAAAAGTGTCCGAACAGGAAGTGGTTAAAAATCAGCACTGACATTCGTATTGTGAAAAAAATTTGTAAAAAATTTGTAAACCGAGGCATTATTTTCATTCGTAAACCGAGGTATTACTGTATCTGGGTTTACACAGACATTGGGTGCACACTAAACAGATACTTTACGGTTATAGAGGGTTATATATTTGCATTCAAGTTTTTGTGCCCAGAGCTGAGCTTTAACAGACTGAATAGTGAATTCTGCTGCAAGCAGGGGAAACTAGTGGAAATAGAAAATATGCCCAAATGATCATAGTTGCTTGCAATGTATACAATTACAAGACAAAATCCCTTCTGTGACATATTTTGTTAGAGTACTTCATGCTTTGTAACGAACTGACCTGCATGGCGATGAGGATAAAGTCAATTAGGCTGCCAATTCCGCAGAAGCCAACTGTGCAAAACTTCAGCATTCCTGGATGAAAAGCAAAACGGAAAATGGTGACATCATATCCTGTTCATTTATCCAAATCAGCGCACCATGGGGCCACCTATATTGTAGCTGCCACTCTAGCCAAGTGGAGGCACCAAAATAATAAATAATAAAACAATTTTCTTCTATGGACATTTGGGAAATCAATTTTATAGTTTTTGCTGTGCGTTACAAAATACTGCTCCTGACCATATCAAGCTCATTTTACATAAATAATATTCGTGGCATTAAAAAGTGTCAGAAAAAAAAAAAAAAAAAATCGAAAAATATAATATCTTTATTATTCCTCTACAGTGTACACCCAAGCGAAGGTCGTGTTTTTCCCGCACAAGGGATGCAAAGGTGTTCAGTGCACCTGTCAGGTCTTCATTGCCGCCTGTGATCCCAATAAGGAGATTCACCTTCATTTGTCACCAAAACAGAATTATAGAGAAAAATTTTCAGTGGGGGCACTAGTACTAGTGACAACAGATTCCCTCACTTTGAAGGAATTTCCTCTCACTTCCTGTTTTGACTATGGAGCAGGAAATTGAAAATCTCTCCAGTAGGGACAGAGATGCCAAAAAAAAAATGACAGGGGTTATAACCCTTTCTTAGACTACTTTCACACTGAGGAGTTTTTGAAGCGTGTTTGCGTAAAAAAAGCGCCTCAGGAAAAATGCTTCCCTATGTATGTGAATGTATATCTATTTATTTATTTCAGGTACTTATATAGCGCCGTCAATTTACGCAGCGCTTTACATATATATTGTACATTCACATCAGTCCCTAACCCTCAAGGGGCGTACAATCTAAGGTCCCTAACTCACATTCATACATACACATACTAGGGACAATTTAGACAGGAGCCAATTCACCTACCGGCATGTCTTTGGAGTGTGGGAGGAAACTGGAGTAGCCGGAGGAAACCCACGCAGGCACAGGGAGAACATGCAAACTCCAGGCAGGTGGTGCCATAGTTGGGATTTGAACCAACCACCCTAATACTGCCAGGCGGAAGTGCTAACCATTTAGCTACTGTGCTGCCCATAATATCTTGTGTATTTTCACCCTGAAGCACAATTGCGTTGCGATGTAAAAACTCCTGCTTTCAGCATCTTTGGCGCATGTTAAAAAAAAAAAAAAAACCCCAAAATGCCTCTTTCCATTGAAATCAATAAACAACACCTAAAATGTGTCTCAAAAACGCCTCTTCCCATTGAAATAAATGGAAACCGCCTGAAATGCACCTCAAAAACGCCTCTGGGAAGCATTTTTGGTGCAATTTTTAAGTCACGTGTCCTTTAAAAACACTCAGAAAGCGCGGCAAAAGCGCAGTAAAAACTCATGTGTTTTTGCGGCAGATCAGTGTGAAAGTAGCCTATCAAAAAAAAATTAATAAAATGATGCCTTTAGTTCTACATTAAAGTATACAAATATACTGCTTAATCATCAGAAATCCAGTGAGCTCCTAACATCCTGTTTGGTATGAACAGGAGCCAGGCGCTGTGTAGTTTTGTGATAGAAATAATACACCTTGTATGGAGGTGTGTCTTTAATAAGTCATATGGTAAAACAATAATAAATAACCAGCCTGTGGCTTTAGGAAGCCAGGTTCCAAGATGGACGGCCCGTCCGCTCAGAGGGAAGCAGTGGAGTAGAATGCCTGTCAGTGCAGGGACCACGTTTACCCGACGTCCCAGCATCCTGGATGACGTCACCACGATGTGGAGAGACAGAGGGGGGGAACTCTTGCTGGAGCCGCAGCTTTAGAAGGAAGAGGCCGGTTGCTGGGACAACATGTTTCGCGCGCATGCGCTTTGTCAAGTCTCATCCTGTTTGGGCCACCAATGCGGTGCCTTTTCTGCACTGAAATCCCAGCATTGCCAGCCCTGCCTGTTGGACTACAGAACTATTGCAATCCCTCTCTACATGCATGCATCAATATCTTGCAGAAACGTTTTGCTGCATTGACAACCAAGAGCCTGACCACACATTGGAGTTGATTTACTACTAAAACTGGAGAGTGCAAAATCTGATGCAGCTTTGCATAAAAACCATTTAGCTTCCTTTTTTTTTTTTGTGTCAAAGGGTAACTGAACAAGCTGAAATTAGAAGCGGATTGGCTGCCTGGCTGTTCTGCACAGCTGCACCATATCTTGTACTCTCCAGTTTCAGTAAATTAACCCCACTGTGTGTAGGGAAAGGGCTTGCGGGAGATGTGGGTCTGGGGGTGTGTCTGTAGAAGTGACCTCTCAACAGCTGCCACTGCAAAGATTTACACACCTGGGGATGATATCATGGGAAATAAATCTGTTTCTCCCTACAAAAAGAAGACAGAAGAATAAATAAGGATGGGACACGATCTAGAGGTGGTTGGGGGTAAACACAGATAATGCCCTGCAGAGATCTTCAAAGCGAAATTAAACTAAAATTTTTTTTCCATGTTTACCCATGAGCAAGCTTCTATTATTCCCATAATGTAGAAGGGGCTCCAGTTCTGCACAGCAGACCGCATGTTATTGCACATGGGATGAGTTTTGATAGTGGTTCGTGACTTGCAACATATATATATATATATACACACACACACACACACACACACACACACTGCTATAACTGTGTGCTGCCTAAGTTGCCTTCTCACTATAATTCACGGCATCAACACCCTGCTGGGATCAGCAGTACAGACTTGCGAGAGCAGACCACTTTGCTGGAAGTGCACTGTGACATGTAGTCATGGCCAAAAATATTGGCACCCCTGCCAGACAATGCACCACTTTGCCCAGAGAATTGTTGCAATTACAAATGTTTCGGCATTCTCATGTTTATTTCTTTTGTTTGTATTGGTATGACACAAAAATGTGGAGAAACAAACAGCCAAATCTGACACATTCCACACAAAACCCCCAAAAATGGACTGGACAAAATTATTGGCACCTCAATTTTATATTTGGTAGCACACCCCCTGGAAAAAATAGCTGAAATCAATGGTTTCATGAAACCATCAATGAGTTCCTTCCACCTCGCTACTGGAATTTTGGAGCGCTCTTCTTTCGCCAACTGCTCCAGGTCTCTCAGATTGGAAGGGTTCCTTTTCCCAACTGCTGTTCTGAGATCTCTCCACAGGAGCTCTATGGGATTGAGATCTGGACTCATTGCTGGCCAGTTCAGTCCTCTCCAGCGCTTTGTCTGAAACCATTTCTGGGGACTTTTTAACGTGTGCTTTGGGTCACTGTCCTGCTGGAAGACCCATGACCTCTGACGGAGATCCAACTGCCTGACACTGGGCCCTACATTGCACCCCAGAAATTCTTTGATAGTCTTCAGATTCCATAATGCCATGCACACGGTCAAGACATCCAGTGCCTGAAGCAACAAAGCACACCCAAAATATCAGTGACCCCCCACCATGTATGACTGTATTCTTTTCTTTAAAGGCATCATTGCTTTTTTCTGAAAACAATAGAATGATGGGCTTTACCAAAAAGCTGCCATTTTGATTCATCTGCCCACGGCACATTCTCCCAAAAGGATTTTGGTAAACTCCAATCTGGCTTTTTTAGGTTTCTGTGTCAGCAGTGGGGTCCTCCTGGGTCTCCTACCATAGCGCCCCTTTTCATTCAGATGGCGACATATAGTGCAAGCTGACACAGGTGTACCCTGTGCCTCTAGTTCAGCCTAAATTTGACTGGAAGTTGATGGAGGTTCATTATCCACCATTTGAACAATCCTTCGTTGCAACCTTCAATTTTTCTTTCGTCCTCGTCCAAGGAGATTAGCTACAGTGCCATGGGCTGTAAACTCGACAATGTTGCGCACAGTGGACACAGGAACATTAAGATCTGTGGAGATAGACTTGTCACCTTGAGATTGTCCATGCTTTTCCACAATTTTTGTTTTCAAATCCTCAGACAATTCTTTGCTGCTCTTTCTCTGCTCCTTGCTCCATGTGGCACACAGAGACACACCACAGAAAGGTTGAGTTAAATTTTCACCATTTTAACTGGTTTTCGGTGTGATTTCTATATTATTATTATTATTATTATTATACAGTATTTATAAAGCGCCAATAGTTCGCTCAGCGCTGTACATTACAAAGGGGGACAGAACATGTGACAGAACAATACCAATACAATGCAAAACATGAGGGGATCGAGGGCCCTGCTCCTTGGAGCTTACAATCTAGGAGGGAGGGGATGGTGGTACAGGAGGAAAAGCTGTGGGGGATGGAGTGGTAGGAAGAGTGGAGGAGGTCGGCAAGTTAGCAGGGGGTGGGGTAGGCTTCCCTGAAGAGATGGGTTTTCAGGGTGCGCCTAAAGGAGAGGAGAGTAGGTGATAATCTGATGGGTTGGGGCAGGGAGTTCCAGAGGATGGGTGACACCCTGGAGAAGTCCTGGAGGCGGGCATGGGAGGAGGAGACCAGGGAACTAGAGAAAAGGAGGTCTTGACAGCACCTTTTAATGGATACTAGTGAATTTAATTACAGACTACAGGATCATCACAAACTTGGAATACAATTATTTCTTACAATTTTGAGAAGGTGCCAATAATTCTTTCAGTTTTGGGTGGAATGAGTCAGATCTGGCTTTTTGTTTCTTCACTTTTTTGGGTCATACCAATACAAAAAGAAAAGAAATAAACATGATAACGTCTAAACATTTGTAACTGCAACAATTTTCTGAGCAAAGTGGTGCATTATCTGACAGGTGCAGGGGAGCCAATATTTTTGGCCATGGCTGTAAAAAAAAAAAAAAAAAAAAAAAAAAAAAAAAAACGAGAGAATGTCCCCAGCACACCACAAATCTCCAAAATAGGTCCAGAGCTTTATTCAGCGATCACATAGAAGCAATGTTTCGGAGCCTCGCAGAACCCCTTCAATCAGGAATGTGGCCACATGCCTGATGAAGGGGCCCTGTGAGGCTCGAAACATTGCTTCTATGTGATCGCTGAATAAAGCTTTGGACCTGTTCTGGAGATCCATGGTGTGATGGTGATATTCTCTCACTCTATCAACAGTTCCAGCCCGTGGTTGCTGCAGCACCCACTTATTTATACGGCCATTTTTCAGGAACGTGCGTGTTAGAATAGTACACTGCTCAAAAAGAAAAAAAAATGAAAAACACTTTGAAAACACATCAGATCTCAATGGGGAAAGATCTCATGCTGGATCTCTATACTGACATGGATGGGTAATGTGTTAGGAAGGCAAGGATGCCCCATCGTTTGATGGAAATGAAAATTATCAACCTACAAAGGACTGAAATCAAAGACACTGCGAAAATCATATTTTTATGTCCTTTTCCATCTTTGTAAAGTTCCATTACCTTGTTACGCAGGAATTTTGACAGTTCTTTTCTGATCCCCCTGGCTCAGTATCTAGCCTAGTCAGTGCTTCCACATAAGAGCTAACAAACTCATTGACTATTTATACACTGACACTAATTGCAATTTAAAAAGCCACAGATGTGGGGCATTAACCTCTAATTGGCATTTTAACCCGTGTGTGTCACCTTGCGTGTCTGTACCAAGGCCAAACATTCCAGGGGAGGGAAACTGTTGATCCGGGCCATTTGGGTGATCTCTGCTATCATTAGGATTTAAAAAGGAGCCTAACAACTATTTGATAATAAATAGCTTCATATGATTATCATCCTTCAATAAAAGAGCAATTTTTGGCATGATCAGTCATTTTTAATATCAATGCCAAAATTTCACAATTTCTGCCAGGGGTGCAAAGTTTTGAGCACAACTGTAGATAAAACCAAACTCTTTCAATGGTATATTTAAAACCCAAGTGCAGCCAAAAGTAAAAACAGAAAATCAGAAAACAGGAGCAAAAAGGAGCAAGCAGGGGGCAAGCAGCACTAGCCCCAGTGGTGTATTTAGGTTTTGTGCTGCCCTAGGCAACACATAAATCGTCTGCCCCCACGGGCACCGACCCACACCCCCCCTCCCACGGAGAGAGCCTGACATTAACCAACAAACCCTTGCACCCCATCTGGGAGAGCCTTCCACTACCCCCCCCCCCCCTCCCTCCAGCGATAGAGAGAAACTCATCTTCACAGCTCTGGACATCCCCGGGAGCGAGAGCCAGGCTCTACATACACCATCAAACAGCCCACAGCCTCTCTTGGATCCCACCTGGTTCCCATGGTGCACGTGTCCCTTCTTTCATCCCTTTTTCTAGGGGGAGGTGCTGCCCCCCTGAAAAATGCCGCCCTAGGCAAGTGCCTTGTTTGCCTTGTGGTAAATACACCCCTGACTAGCCCACAGATAGATCACTAAGAAGAATGTCCAAAGTTACAGACGTGCGTAACATCTCCTAATGAAGAGGGCTCATTTGTAGGCATGGCATAAGCAAGCCCACTTTATTAGGTGCCCAGTTTGCTCTTCTGGCTGTCTTGGGAGCAGGTGTCACATGGCTGCACACTGTGGCAACTGGCTGGTGGCTACACATTCCATAAGTTCCATGTAAGTTGTGACTTCTCTATATTGCATTCCTGATGAAGCAGTGTTTACAAGCTGTGAAACGTGTTGAGTTGACGCCACTGTGGACCTACAACCTGAAAGTTCCTCGTTTAACAAATATATGTCCATTGTAAAGGATTTTTATGTAGCTGGTCAGGAAGTGATGAGGGAGTGAGGCAGTATCGAACGGAAAAAGTCTTTAGCAAAATTAATATAAATAAATAATTTGCGCTAGTAAATGTGTATAAATATATACATGTATATAAAGAAATCATCAAATCATAAGTCCAGAAAAAAAAAATATATATATGCCAATACCACAAAAAAATATAAAAAAACTTTTAAGTGCAAAAAACTTTTGTGCACAAAAAGTGTCTAAATATGAAAAAATTTCACCAAAAAAACCTTGATAATATAATGGCAGATCATCCATAAATATATCTTCAGAAACGGAAACTCTGCAACACACCGATCCTCATCGATCGAAATAACAGGATGAAAAACTTTATAGTTAATCGAAAATCCACTTCTCCAATAGATAAAGGACCACCTTCAAACGTATCCATGGGGGGAAATGCCAAACACTCGAGAGAAACAGAAAGACTTCATGGTGCAATATTATAAAAACCAATTCCTTTATTAGGTACTCATTGCACTTACTCAAGAGGTGTCCCAGCCGACACCAGCATCAACAGCATAACAGCAATCACATAAACGAGCCTGGCTACTCAGCACATGCGCAGTAGCTGGCAGCCAAAAACGTAATGACGTCACATCAATCAAGGTCCGCCCTACGCGTTTCGTCATCGACGTCCTCACGGAGCGGAGTGGCCGCTCCGTGAGGACGTCGATGACGAAACGCGTAGGGCGAAGCTTGATTGATGTGACGTCATTACGCTTTTGGCTGCCAGCTACTGCGCATGTGCTGAGTAGCCAGGCTCGTTTATGTGATTGCTGTTATGCTGTTGATGCTGGTGTCGGCTGGGACACCTCTTGAGTAAGTGCAATGAGTACCTAATAAAGGAATTGGTTTTTATAATATTGCACCATGAAGTCTTTCTGTTTCTCTCGAGTGTTTGGCATTTCCCCCATGGATACGTTTGAAGGTGGTCCTATATCTATTGGAGAAGTGGATTTTCGATTAACTATAAAGTTTTTCATCCTGTTATTTCGATCGATGAGGATCGGTGTGTTGCAGAGTTTCCGTTTCTGAAGATATATTTATGGATGATCTGCCATTATATTATCAAGGTTTTTTGGTGAAATTTTTTCATATTTAGACACTTTTTTTGCACAAAAGTTTTTTGCACTTAAAAGTTTTTTTTATATTTTTTTGTGGTATTGGCATATATATTTTTTTTTCTGGACTTATGATTTGATGATTTCTTTATATACATTTATATATTTATACACATTTACTAGCGCAAATTATTTATTTATTGGTACACTTTATATATGGTGATTTTTTGCAGCTGGTACACTATTAGTAAGTTATATAATTTTGACCATAGGCGCTATTATTAATTTTTCCTAAAATTAATATAAACACTTTAAGTTTTCTGAATTTTATGGGAAGAAAATCATTTTTAAAAGAATTGCAATAAAATATATGAATAAGAACGTTGTAAACAAATTGGTGTGCTGCCTTAAAAATCTGGATCTATTTGTTCTTGGTATGCCATTAAAAGTACAGAATCAAGTGCAGTGGCTCACCTAAAGCAGGGTAACCCAGATAGAACCTGTCCGCTCCGAGCCATCCAAGAAACAAGGACAACGCCACTGCTACTTTGTAGGAATAACCGTTTCTGCAAATAACAGAAGAGAGATGAATATACAGAGCACATAAAATCATGACATACACCTTGTAATGGAACCGACCCCGGACTGCGCTTGGGTACTTCCGTTAGACTACCGCTTCCCCGTCCGAACATCGACAACAGACACCACAGCTGACCATACAAGACTAGACGACACCAGTCTTGAAGTAAACCAGGAGGTAGACTAGTTTATTTGAACACAGATACAAGATACATACACTCAGGGGACAAGGGGACAATCCCCCCTCCCTGCATAGTGACACATGGCGGGGCAATCTACATTTAGTAACAAGAGATACACCAGCAGACAGTCCCTTCAGAAGGGAGGGCTGCTGGAGACACCCCCCACCAAGCCAATACACAAACATCCCATAATAAATTGCTCCCAAGCCTGACAAACAGAACAATGGGATGCAGCCCCATAACACCAGACAATCCACAACACCCACCCCACCTATACATGTCAACACAATATTAGGACAGATCACCCTGTACCCCTAACAGGGTGACTTACACAAAATAGGTATATGGGGAGCCGAGACAGGGGTCTCCCCAACTCTCCAAAGTGAGCTGGGTTCCATGTGCCCCCCACCCAAAGTGACTCTCGTCACACACCTTAGCTCCTTACACTGTAAGTTGAAGTTTAATCTGTTTATATTTTACCTACGACTGTGACAAAGCACTGATTCATGCAAAATGCATTGTCATGGTAACCAGGAATTGCCTGGCCAGCTCCATGCCATCCACTCCATCTGGTTGATGTACGGTGGCCGCTGCCGGTTCCCCTGAGGTCACTTCCGGTGTGCAATCTTCAGTGACACTGTGAAGATTTCCTCTGTCCCTCTGAGGACACACCATCCTGTGCATGCCAGTGGATCCACACATTCCTAGGTATTGTCCTACACTGATCCCTCCGCATTTGGGCTCATCATACAGGACCCTTCACAGCCGGGATAAAAACAGCAGTAAGCCGCTCTTATTACCCATCACCAGCATGGTTCTTGGGCCATTTTGTTCTTTGCTACATCAGATTTATTCTGGAGCATGATTTTATATTGTTGTTTTCTCCTTTGAACTATTAAACACTTTTTATCTTGAATACATTGGTTGTCGGATGGATATGCCATTACTTTACTAACTGGCCTCCTACCATAAGCGCTCTGTATTCTTGCTTCAGATTATCTACACACTACTTCAATGGTCACCAGAGTAGATGTGGGACTAGTCCTTACCTTGGCTTGCACATATGATATCTATTCATGGAAATTGGCGCTCAAGGATTTGTTATTTCTTATATTTTACCTTCCCTGGTTAACCATTAGTGGGTAACCAATCAGTACATACCAATGAAAGTATCTAAATGCATCTGCCTTAATAACCCAGAAAACTTCCCCTGTGCTGGTGCCCCCATTTGTTCCTTTGGCTTGAGCAAATGTCATATATTGTAAGCTCCACGAGCCGGGCCTTCCTATTCCTTCGGTATTCAAAAATGTACTATAATTGTTCCGTCTCCCATTATATTGTAAAGCGCTGCGCAAACTGTTGGCGCGATATAAATCCTGTATAATCATATAATAATTATAATAAAAACAGCTGGAATCTAATTGGTTGAGAAGGTGAAACAAAAAATTTCTATTCGCCTTTAGAGTTGGTTCACAATGGCATTGCACGGGAATGCCCGTGCTTCCATGAGATGCGTTTTGACAGCTCATTAATTCGAATAGGCTGCGACATGCACTGGACCATGCAAAAAGTAGTGCTTGCGCTACTTTTGAAAAAGCACACTGTACCAAACCACGTGGTACAGTGATACCATGCGATTTGGTGCCTACAAATGCACTGCAGTTGTGATCTTCATCTGGGTTGCTGTTAGCACCTCTGCTCTTTTCTGAAAGACCACACCACCTTCCCAGGGCAAAAGCGACTTGTTCAGCGGCTGAACCTGAGCTCTGAGGTAACTATAACCATCCTAAATGGTGGAATCCTTAAAGCTACCCTAACATCTACTAACCCCCGGTTCACATCTATGCGGTCATATTTTGCACGGGCATGAGAGCCCATTCATTTGAATGGATGCCCGTGACACGCAGAGAAGAAGTCCCTGCACATCTTCTGAAAATGCAGCCCGCACGGGAACCTCGGTTCCCAGTATGGTTGCGTTTTCCAGTGCGGGCGACGTGCCCTTAGAAATAATGGCACCCGCCCGTGGGTCCGCAATTCTCTGCGCGGGTGGTGCGGCTGCACGGATTTTCGTGCGGATCCGCAGCGGCACCACCCGCACAGATGTGAACCTAAGGTAAAGGAGAGGAGGAGTGGACAGCCCCTAGTGGTTGGAGATAGAGACCAACAATGGAGACATTTCAATAAACGCAGTACAACACGCATTGGAGGTGAGAGTTCTGAGAGCACGGAGGTGGCACTATAATGTATGAACTTCACATGAAGCACGGATCTACAGTCAGGTCCATAAATATTGGGACATCGACACAATTCTAACATTTTTGGCTCTATACACCACCACAATGGATTTGAAATGAAACGAACAAGATGTGCTTTAACTGCAGACTGTCAGCTTTAATTTGAGGGTATTTACATCCAAATCAGGGGAACGGTGTAGGAATTACAACAGTTTGCATATGTGCCTCCCACTTGTTAAGGGACCAAAAGTAATGGGACAATTGGCTTCTCAGCTGTTCCATGGCCAGGTGTGTGTTATTTCCTCATTATCCCAATTACAATGAGCAGATAAAAGGTCCAGAGTTCATTTCAAGTGTTCTATTTGCATTTGGAATCTGTTGCTGTCAACTCTCAAGATGAGATCCAAAGAGCTGTCACTATCAGTGAAGCAAGCCATCATTAGGCTGAAAAAACAAAACAAACCCATCAGAGAGATAGCAAAAACATTAGGCGTGGCCAAAACAACTGTTTGGAACATTCTTAAAAAGAAGGAACGCACCGGTGAGCTCAGCAACGCCAAAAGACCCGGAAGACCACAGAAAACAACTGTGGTGGATGAGCGAAGCATTCTTTCCCTGGTGAAGAAACCCTTCACAACAGTTGGCCAGATCAAGAACACTCTCCAGGAGGTAGGTGTATGTGTTTCAAAGTCAACAATCAAGAGAAGACTTCACCAGAGTGAATACAGAGGGTTCACCACAAGATGGAAACCATTGGTGAGCCTCAAAAACAGGAAGGCCAGATTAGAGTTTGCCAAACGACATGTAAAAAAGCCTTCACAGTTCTGGAACAACATCCTATGGACAGATGAGACCGACATCAACTTGTACCAGAGTGATGGGATGGGAAGAGAAGAGTATGGAGAAGGAAAGGAACTGCTCATGATCCTAAGCATACCACCTCATCAGTGAAGCATGGTGGTGGTAGTGTCATGGCGTGGACATGTATGGCTGCCAATGGAACTGCTTCTCTTGTATTTATTGATGATGTGACTGCTGACAAAAGCAGCCGGATGAATTCTGAAGTGTTTCGGGAATATTATCGGCTCATATTCAGCCAAATGCTTCACAACTCATTGGACGCTTCACAGTGCAGATGGACAATGACCCAAAGCAGACTGCAAAAGCAAACAAAGAGTTTTTTAAGGGAAAGAAGTGGAATGTTATGCAATGGCCAAGTCAATCACCTGACCTGAATCCGATTGAGCATTTCACTTGCTGAAGACAAAACTGAAGGCAAAATGCCCCAAGAACAAGCAGGAACTGAAGACAGTTGCAGTAGAGGCCTGGCAGAGCATCACCAGGGATGACACCCAGCGTCTGGTGATGTCTATGCGTTCCAGACTTCAGGCTGTCATTGACTGCAAAGGATTTGCAACCAAGTATTAAAAAGTGAAAGTTTGATTTATGATTATTATTCTGTCCCATTACTTTTGGTCCCTTAACAAGTGGCAGGCACATATGCAAACTGTTGTAATTCCTACACCATTCACCTGATTTGGATGTAAATACCCTCAAATTAAAGCTGACAGTCTGCAGTTAAAGCACATCTTGTTCATTTCATTTCAAATCCATTGTGGTGGTGTACAGAGCCAAAAATGTTAGAATTGTGTTGATGTCCCAATATTTATGGACCTGACTGTATGTTATACGGTGTCGGATCTTGCAATTTCTGGAATTGAATGAACTTTATTCATTTATATTTTTTATATATTTACTTATATTTTATTATCAAGCACATTACTATGAGTTTATTTACTATGGTTGTTTAGCATTTGATAGATTGATGTTTTATGCTTTCATTATTTATAATTTCCTGCCAGCAGCACTACAATACACCCTACTAATATTTTATATTGCATTGTGGGAACACAATTGAAGTTAGTGGCAGTCACCAACAAACACGTATATTTTATTTTTAGCACATAGTAGGCGCAGGAGTTTTTTTTTTTCACTGGCTGTTAGCAATACATTGGTACCCACATAAGAGACTGCAAGGGCAGCGGGTTTGTGATGCAAGAAACGTGCATGCAAAGCGACTTTCCCAAACCATGTTCTGGTTTTTAAAACACATCTACGTAACTGTACTCACACGTTGCGGCAGGGAAACGGTCGGAAGAAGCCAATTTCTTTCCCAGAGAAGGTTGTGACATTCCCCTCATAATCTTTACAGGAAATATTTGGTGCCGGATAACATGGAGCTGCAAAGGATTAGAATAGAGGTGCATGTTGAATGCCTAAAATAAAGGATTTTTATAGGCATGACCCACATGAAAAAAGGTATTTATACATTTTTTTTCGTACTGTGGGAGATCAGATATAGTGAATCATGGGTCATGGGTTTAGTAACACTTTAACCTCCCTGGTGGTATGATTATTTCCGATTTTTTGTGCTGAAAGCGGTACCATTTTTTTTTTTGCATGGAAATATGTAGTTTTTTATTGTAGGCCTGTAATTTTTAGGAATAACTCACTGAAATCTGTCCGAACAAGAGTCTAGTAAACATCCCGGGGATGATAAAATTTGAAACATGAAATCATAAATTAGAATTTAATAAATAATCATAAAAAAATAATAATATAATAATAATAAATTTAATTCAATAATATAATCAAACCGAAAACACTGAAATTTGAAATACAGAGGCAAATTCGCACATCGCTGAGCAAAGTCGCAAAATCGTTTTCAGTGTCTGATGAGGAATTTCCCCCACGAATCATTATCATTCAATTCTGCAAGTGGTTCTAATTTACTATCGCTGTTCTCTAGCCGGTCTAAAACCGCTTTTGACGTAAAGGGACGCTTTTTGGACGCCATGGACTTTTCTAAGTTTCCAGGCAGAAAGAACAGTCAAAATGCAGGCAGGGCGCAGGACAAAGCACTCGGGACAAAATGTATGTGAAATGCATTGAAACAGCAATGTTTTACTATGTAATAATCATTTTAAAAAAAATGAATTTTTTTTAAAATTTCAAATTTGCCGCCGGTTCCGGCACCCGTACGTCCTGACGTCACAGGGACCGGAACACAGAAGGCGGATGCCAGCATCGGCTGGAGGAGATGGCCGGGGACACATCGTGGGAGCGAAGGACAAGGTAAGTGCTGCAGGGACTCCCTGAGCAACGCCGCATGGTAAGCCCGAGTGTAGCTCGGGGTTACCGCTCTTGGTACTCAAATTTTACCCCGAGCTACACTCGGGAATACCGCTAAGGAGGTTAAGCTGTCGATACATGGAGCAAATTTTTGTCCAGTTCTTGATGAACTGTCCTAAATTTGCTCAGTGGGCTGCCCAGCTAAGCACTGGTTAAAGCTTGTAGGAGGAGTTTTCATTCTGCTTTGACTGTCCTATGAGGCTGCATGATCCCTGACCCTCTGTCTGTGCAGTGCCAATTGGCCCTGTGCTGATCACATGCACCCTCCCCCATAAAAAAAAAAAAAAAAAAAAAAACACACTAAACTGAGCATGTGCAGAGTGACCCCTAGGGCTCTGTACTTTCAGCAGATGGATTGGGGACACTAGAAGAAGGGGAAGATCAGAAATGCCAGGATCAAACAGCCTTTTTTATATAATGCAAAGGATTAACCCCTTAGGTTCCACAGTGAGTATAACAAGCATGCTTTACTGCATATAAAGACTGATTGTACTGCTGGGGGTTTAGTAAGATTTATGTGTTTTGTGGGGGAAAAAAAAAGTAGAAAATAAAGCAAATGAACAGACTTTGGCTAATGGGTACCTCAGGTTCGTTCAGAACTAGAACAATGAAACTTACCAAAAGCGGTCAAGTTTGCACATTTAACCGGTTCTTGCGTTGCCGGGTTTATTTTTGGGTCCAGGCACATATATGTTCGAGGATTAAGAAAAAACGAGCCTTTCTGATTAAACAAGTTTATACCCTGGAACGGGATCTATGAGGTGTGAAAACAAATACAAAATAAAAGGAACAGAGATCTGCGCTCTGTCTGTAGTCACATGGGTACTTTATTTGTCATTTTATAGAGAACGTTAACATGCTATATAACTGCTGACCTCTGAGGTCTGAAGAAGGAGCCTATTGAGCATGCTCCGAAATGCATTACCGCCCCCCTTCACCTGCTACATCTGAGACTGCTCTCCAAGCTTCATTTTTGATGCACAGGCACATCCTGGACTCTACTTCCTGATCCTATAGACAGAGTTTGCTGCTGGACGGCTGGATGTCCCACCTGGATCTAATTACCACATGATGACTCTTTTTAACCATTTATCTTGTAAGTGCAAATTTTCCATTGTTTACTGAATAAATTGTCAATACTGCACTTAGAGGCGCCTTCCTCTCTTTTTCTAGCAATAAAAACCTGACGGGTTTCAAATCATCTCCACTCCATCCAAAACTATAAAAACATTGGGGTTCTAGTTATAATTTAAAAGAACCAAATGCTTTTTTTCATTTTTGGATAGAGTAAGGGAGGGTTATAACCCCGGTCAGACTTTTTTTTCCCCCATCTGAGTCCCATTGGGGAGATTTCCCTTCACTTCCTGCCCCACAAACAAAACAAGAAGTGAGGGGAAATCCCTACAAAGGGCAGTTGTCACCAGGACTAGTGTCTTCATTGGAAGATTTCCCCTTTGTTCCTGTTCTGGTGACAACCCAGAATGCGTTTTTCTTTCACTCTTGGTGATAACAGGACACAGAGAGAGAGAGAGAGAAAAAAGAGAGAGAGAGAGAAACTCCCTAATGGGGACACAGAAAGCAATAAAAGCCTGACAGGAGTTCTAATTCCTCTCTATTCCCTCCAAAAAATGTCTGGCCTCTAGTTACAATTTAAAATAGCCAAAGGCTTCTTTTTTTCATTTTTTGCATAGAGTAAGGGAGGGTTATAACTCCTGTCAGGTTTTTGCCATCTGTGTCCTGTTGGGGAGAGTTCCCTTCACTTCCTTTCCAGCCAAAACAGGAAGGGGAAGTCCCTACAAAGGGGGGTTGTCACCAGGACTAGTGTCCTCATTGGGAGATTTCCCCTCTTCCTGTCCCATAACCAAAACAGGAAGTGAGGAGAAATCCCTACAAAGGGGGGTTGTCACCAGGACTAGTGTCCTCATTGGGAGATTTGACCTCTTCCTGTCCCATAGCCAAAACAGGAAATGAGGAAAACCCTACAAAGGGGGGTTGTCACCTGGACTAGTGTCCTCATTGGGAGATTTCCCCCTCTTCCTAATCCATAGCCAAAACAGGAAGTGAGAAATCCCTACAAACGGGGGTTGTCACTAGGACTAGTGTCCTTATTGGGAGATTTTTTCTTCCTGTCCCATAGCCAAAACAGGAAATGAGAGGAAATCACTACAAAGGGGGGTTTCATCAGGACTAGTGCCCTCATTGGGAGATTTGCCCTCTTCCTGTTCCATAGCCAAAACAGGAAGTGTGGGGGAAAACCTACAAAGGGGGGTTGTCACCAGGAAAAGTGTCCTCATTGGGAGATTTCCCATCTTTCCCATTTCCTGTCCCATAGCCAAAACAGGAAGTGAGAAAAAATCCCTACAAACGAGGGTTGTCACCTGGACTAGTGTCCTCATTGGGAGATTTCTCCCTCTTCCCCACTTCTTGTCCCATAGCCAAAATAGGAAGTGAGAGGAAATTCCTACAAAGGGGGGGTTGTCACTGGGACTAGTGTCCTCATTGCGAGATTTGCCCTCTTCCTGTCCCATAACCAAAATGGGAAGTGAGGGGGAAAACCTACAAAGGGGGGTTGTCACCAGGACAAGTGTCCTCATTGGGAGATTTCACATTTCCTGTCCATAGCCAAAACAGGAAGTGAGAGGAAATCCCTAAAACGGGGGGTTGTCACCGGGACTAGTGTCCTCATTGGAAGATTCCACCTCGAATGGGCACAGACAGCAATAAAAACCTGACAGGAGTTCTAATCCCTCTCCCCTCTATCAAAAAATTGAAAAAGTTTTGCCTTCAGTTCTACTTTAAAATAATTGAAGACATTGTTTTTATTGTATCCAAAACTAAAAAAAAAAAAAAGTATGGCCTCTAGTTATAATTTTAAAGAACAAAAGGAATTTTTAAATTTTGGATAAAGGGAGGGTGCCCCATTGGGGAGATTTCCATTTCCTGTCCCACAGCAAAAACAGGAAGTGAGAGGAAATCCATCCAAAATGAGAGGAGATCCCTGGCCATCACCAGAAATAGCGTCCCCATCAGGGGCGGACTGACAACTCATGGGGCCCCGGGCAATAGGGGATCATGGGGCCCCTGTGTCCTTGCTCAAACTCAAAAAAGCCTATGAAAAAGGTACCAGGGGCATCTCATGGGGCCCCCTACTGACCCCGGGCCCCCTGGCAGTGCCCGAGTTTCCAAATGGTCAGTCCGCCCCTGGTCCCCATTGGAAGACTTCCCCTCTAAAGGGGGCACAGACAGCAATAAAACCTGACAGGGGTTCTAATCCCTCTCCACTCCATCCAAAACTGAAAATAAAGCTTGTCCTTCCATTCTACATACAATCCTAGGCCTGGTATGGTGTCAGGGCCTTTATGGAGGGGTCCAGGGACATGTCAGCTGTCTGTAGTGTGGGCTCCCCCCTGGTATTGCTGGTTCCTGTAGTTTCCTCCCCATGTACAGACCTCCAGGCCCTCTTACACCCCCATAGGCCTCAGTTCTCTGGTTCCCATGGGAACCCATTGCTAGGACATGCGGTGCCCCCAGTTCACACAGCCTCTCAGGATATTGCCCCAGCCGCAGCTCTTCACACTTGAAGCTTCCATCCTCAGCAGACACACAGGCCAGTTGCGACCACCACCACACCGAGATCACAGCAACCAGAAGCTGACGTTCCCTGGGCGCCGCCATCTTGCGAGTGGCACAACAAGCGGCCGGCTGCGTTACGGAGTCGCTTGACTGCACGGCAGACGCAAAATGTCGGCTCCGCCCAGCCGCCACAGGACCAGGCGCCATCCTGGGTGTGGCACGACAGCCGGCTCAGCAAAACGTTGACTTCGCCCCGCTCTGACTGGACCCAGCGCCATCTTGGGAGTGGCGCAGCAGCATAACGGAACATCTGTGTGCGCCATCATGGATATGGCGAACTGTGAGGGGAATTTTCATTCAAACATATATAGTACATAGATATTATAGAACTGTGTGGCGCTGTGGGCTGTTAGGGGCTGTTTGGTTTCATTGGAAGGTGTCTATGGCGGCAGAGTGACCCCTCATCTCTGTGTCTGAGGTAAAACAGTATCCTTGGTGATGAAGTTGGGTCAGTTACAGGAAAACCAAAACCACAACTTTTGGATAAAATAGAGGAGGGTTGGAACCCCTGTCAGTTTTTGTTTTCCCTCTCCTTCCCCTTTTGGGAAATTTCCCTTCACTTCCTGTCATATAAACTGCAACAGGAAGTGAGAGGAAATCCCGGCAACGTGAGGGAAGTCTCTGCTGAGACTTAATTCACAGCTGAAAGTTCTGTAAAACGGACAAAAAACGCGCCTTGCAGTGTTATTCGTTGTTACTGGCACCCCAAACGCGGCAAGCAGATGCATATTTTTTTCCTCATGAAAAAATGTGTGACAATTGCGGCAAAACGTGCGGCTAACCACTTGAAGACCAGACACCTTTTACCACACTTTTTGTAAAAAAAAAAGGTATTTTTTGCTGGAAAATTACTTAGAACTGCCATTATCTACTTTTTTAACCCCTCACCTACCCGGCACTGTCACCCCCCTTCCTGCCCAGTGAAGGAGAAAAATCACTTGTTTACAAAAACTAAGAAAAAACTTTTTTTTCTCAAAATTTTCAGTTTTTGGTTTGTTTAGCAAAAAATAAAAAACCCCCGAGGTGATTAACCGCTTCCATACCGAGCACTTGTACGCCCTTCCTGCCCAGGCCAATATTCAGGTTTCAGCGCTCTCACACTTTGAATGACAATTGCGCGGTCATACAACACTGTACCCAAACTAAAATATTATCATTTTTTTCACACAACTAGAGCTTTCTTTTGGTGGTATTTAATCACCGCTGGGGTTTTTTATTTTTTGCTAAATTAACAAAAAAAGACCAAAAATTTTGAAAAAAAAAAAAAAAACGTTTTTCTTTGTTTCTGTTATAAAAGTTTGCAAATAAATAATTGTTCTTCATAAATTTAGGCCGAGATGTATTCTGCTACATGTCTTTGGTGAAAATAACCCAAATTAGGATGTATTATTTAGTCTGTAGGAAAGTTATAGAGTTCACAAACTATGGTATAGATCTGAATATTGATCAATCCTGAAGTACTGACGGCCAATCTAATTTATTGAGGTCCAAGAATGTCAGAACAGTACAGATATCCCCCAAATGTCAGAACAGTACAGATATCCCCCAAATGTCAGGACAGTACAGATATCCCCCAAATGTCAGAACAGTACAGATATCCCCCAAATGTCAGGACAGTACAGATATCCCCCAAATGTCAGAACAGTACAGATATCCCCCAAATGTCAGGACAGTACAGATATCCCCCAAATGTCAGAACAGTACAGAAATCCCCCAAATGTCAGATCAGTACAGATATCCCCCAAATGTCAGGACAGTACAGATATCCCCCAAATGTCAGGACAGTACAGATATCCCCCAAATGTCAGGACGGTACAGATATCCCCCAAATGTCAGGACAGTACAGATATCCCCCAAATGTCAGATCAGTACAGATATCCCCCAAATGTCAGGACAGTACAGATATCCCCCAAATGTCAGGACAGTACAGATATCCCCCAAATGTCAGAACAGTACAGATAGCCCCCAAATGTCAGAACAGTACAGATAGCCCCCAAATGTCAGGACAGTACAGATATCCCCCAAATGTCAGAACGGTACAGATATCCCCCAAAT